TTTTTAAACTGTAGATGAAGAAAAAAGAAATCAAAGTCTTCCCAATGTTCTATTGTTTCACTATTTTTGGACACATTTTTTACAGATTGGTTCAGCCTACCTGTGTTATACCCAGTCCCCTTATTAACATGTTGCCAATTATTCAAATTCATTGCAAAACGCTCCTCCAGCTTTTTCTTATTTGTACCACTTACCTTTACAGCCTTTTGTTGCCCTGATCGTTTCTTTTTGAGATGTGTTGATGTCATAAATAGGAATGAGATAATCAGAGGTACAGCGCAGGTTGAACAACTGGGAGATACAGTTAGACAGGCCAGACTGAGAAGGTTTGCACAAATGATATGGAAATTTTGACTATCACCGTTACCGATATCAGGAGGGGCAGGCTGATGCCGATAACGATATAATGGCTGAATTTTTTTTGCTTTGTCCACCCCAAAGAATCTAAATAAACAGCTACTTTTAAACCTGCTTTAACACTTGAAGTCCTGAAACAGTCTTCCTAACATGCATTCACATTTTCTATCCTCCACTAGTCACCATAATGTTATCAATTGTGTTACAAAAATATCAATTAAACAAAGAAACGACCTTCCTCGTTCATTGTTTACACAGTCATGTATGGTAAAGGCCTCATTAGTATTGTCTGCAGCAGAGTTTCTTTATTTTTGCAGAGAAGTAAAGATTTCAGACAAATATTTCATTTCATTGAGGACAACAACAATAGTGTTACTAACATTTTTATATTTTACCTATACGTTAGATTTATTGTTCTGGCTAAAGTTTTACAAAGCAATAGCCTATGCTAGGTTATCTAAATGTTAGCTTGCTAACTTGAGAGGCATGTAGCTAATGACAAGCGGGTTGGAGGATTGAAGAGAATTTATTATTGTTGATTTGTTTTACAGATCAGTTAAAATAAACTTACCTTGCTCTGTTCAGCAGAGTATGCTACAGTTGTTCCTTGCTTTGGTTGTGCTGAAAGTGAAACTTAAGTGAACGGCCATGACTTGAAAGGAGTCTGCATGCACCCTCTGCTGGATACATTGCACAAATATGCCTTTTGCATGTGAGGACATGTCTGGTTCCCAGTGTTTATATCTGTGCATAATGGGACAATTATCACCAATACGATAAGTCCCCAAATGGCTGTAACGGCCTAAAATATCAGCCCTACCGATATATCGGTCGGGCTCTAGTTTGGACATGACCAGAGGAGGGACTGTGGGTATACTGGTAGGATGTTGGAAATGCAGCTGTCGTTAGAGAAGACAGAGAGTGAGGACAGAGTGAGATAGAGGAGGATGACTTGCAGCTGAAGAGGGAACAGCTGAAAGTTTTTATGTCTAAAATATGTTACTATTTTTTTTTGTTTAAACATTTGCTGTTTACTGTTGCTGTGCAAATAAAATATGAGTTCATGAGACTGTTTTGATGACATTTTTCACAACTTTTCAGAATTGGGGTTGTGCAGTTGGACATGTTCCTGCTTTCAGACTGTTTATCTTTGATAACTTTGTTCTTTTTTTCTTTGATCTAACAGGAATAAATCACATGCAAACTTTACTTTGAAGTGCTTTAAGCAGGTCACGATTCTGCTTCTGCCAGAGTGTTTACATCTGTGTTTCACATCATCTAATTGTTCTCGTAAGCCTAAGCAGTGTGGCGCTTTAAAGTGATAATGAGGTGTGTGTCTTTGCACGCAGTGACTCCTCCGGATCTGATGGATCACGGAGCGGTGATGTGGCACCCCACACTCGTAAAGTCGTCGTGTTCCTCCTGCTCTCGGGGGAGCTTCTCTGATGGCGTTGCTCATAAAGGATGTAACTACGAGAGGTGAGGAAGGAACGAGGGCTAGACCGAGTTCTTTTTGATGTGACTGGGGACTCAGGGGAGCTGGGGCTCAAGGGCACTACAGAAACTGAAAATAGATTATGAACACAAGAACCGAGCGACCCAGAGGACTATCATTTGGCATTTAAATCAGTGGGAAAAATAATGTGTTGGGCGAATTAGCTGATAAGCATGACAGAAAAAAGGCAAATGCTGAGCCAATTTATTTTGTAAGACAGTTTATCATTTGATAAAAGGTCAGCCTCAGCCCTGTAATAAGCTTTAACATCTGAAATGGTCTATTATTCATGCAGGGAAATATGAGAAGTGACATGCAGGAGGACACTGGTTAATGACAGTTTAATGATAGTGTTTTAAAGAAAGAGACTGGAGTGAATGTTTCACTGACACAAGTAAAATAATCTGTGCTTCTTGTTTTCTGTAGGACTCCTCTGAAGCTGCTCTGTGACAGCATGAAGTATCAAATCATCTCCAGGGCATTTTACGGATGTATGTAATACTTTCTTTAATATAATTCTCATTTGTAGTTAAAAGTAAGTAAAAGTTAAAGTAATACATTCATTTTTTGCCATTTCAGCAGCATTATTCAGATCTTTTCATGTGGGATTCTGTGGAAATGTTGTTTTTAATTTTTATTCTTTTCAAGATATCAAATTTTATTTGCAATTATATTCCCTCCTCCCCACTTTGAAATACATTCATATTTCTTCATTAACTTGAAAAACATTTAGAATACATTCATATTTCTTCATTAACTTGAAAAACGTTTAGCTTTGATCAACCATTTTTCTACTTTTGGATTTTAGCTACAATTTTGTTCATTTTGATGTTTGTTTTGATAATTTTGGGCTGCATTTTTGCTTCCAGAAGTTTTAACAAGTCCATTTTAGCTTCTTCAGCAAAGTCATTTAGCGTTCAGCATTCCTGCCACTTTTTCACAGAAAATGTACGTTCTGTAGCTAAGCTGACAAGATTTGGTTTTAGGATTCGTGCACTACACTGAATACCAGGAATGGTTAAAATAATTTATTGATAAATCCGCTGCTGGTGGAGGTCTGGTTCCGGGCACGGGTCCAATCTGAAGAAGTAGGCGAGTTAGTGAACTTGGCTGGATTGTGAAGGTTCAGAAGATAATAATATTGACAGTCACTAACCTTCACAGTCGAGTACGAGAGGTAATCCTTCAGATGGTTGGAAAGGTTGACATCATGAGCTGTGAACAGGTAGCAGCAGAGAACGATAACGTACAGTGCAGTTCCAAGGATTGTCCAGGAGAGAAGTCCAATAAAACGGGCTTGTGTCAAGAACCGTAGAGCAGAAATCCGAATATACATCCAAAACGTGATCCAAAAGGCGTAGTTGTAATAATCCTAAACAGAGTTGGCAGTGTCAGAATCCAGAACAGGCAAGGCAAGGAAACCAGGAAACAGGCATGGGGTCTAAACAGGAGAGACAGGCAATGCCGTGGCATGGACACTGGACATCTACTAACACAAAGCAGTTCAATAATCTGGCAACGAGTGAGTGACTGGAGCTCAAGTAGTGAGCTGAGCAGGTACGTGAGATCAGGGCCGATTGCAGTGGAGGAACAGAGCAGGCGTGGTGAAAGGTGGCAGGACTGGAGCTTGAAGCCGGGATAAACAAAACATGAAGGCATGAACTATGGCATGAGGGGGCAGAAACGTGACATAAACAAAACTTTTCCACATAACCTCACTTCAAATCATCTGAACCATCTTTAAAAAAGTCCTCTGTTTCTCCCATCAGGGCTGGCATACTGCCGTCACCTGTCCACCGTGCGGACGCACCTCTCTGCTCTCGTCAATCACGCCATCGTGACGCCCAACGCACCCTGTGACGCCTCAGAGGGGCTCACGGCAGTCGTGTGGCAGACGTTCCTCCAGGACTCCACAGTAAGCGTCGATGGTGTCACTGCGCCGCGACACAAATTTCACTTTATTGTCTACTGACAGGAGGCCATCCACACACACACACACACACTCCAAGCATCTCTCTTCCTCTCTGTCTGCCTCTGTGTTCATTCTTTGCTAATCATGCGGCTCACTGTCTCCCAGCAGTGAGTGTGAAGCGTGACTAATGCCTCGGTGAATTTCAAATTGTGTTTACACCTACAATTTATTAGAGCATTAAACACGTGGGTCAGTTAGAGTTTGACAGGAGGATGAGGAGTTTCTTCATTTGAAAGCTTAAAGTGTTATTTTGTTGACACGTAATGAGGTGTAGGCTTTGATCGTTGCTGGGGTTGTCTTTGTTGTTGTGGTGCGCAGATCCATGCGTGACAGATAGCTATCACTTTAAATAGAGCAGTGAACGTTCAAAGACTGATCAAAAGTCAAGCGCTTATTAAATCAAAGGCTTTTGTTTTAATTTCAGTCATATAAGGAGCAGGAGCTGCTTCGTTTGGTCTACTTCGGTGGCGTGGACCCCTCTCTGCGTAAGGAGGTGTGGCCCTTCCTGCTGGGTCATTACCAGATCGGGATGTCCGAGGCTGACAGGAAGGAGGTGTGTGGGTTCACAGTGATGCCTTTGGCTCTGAAGGGATTTTATTTTCTTGTTGTTCCTAAATAGCTGTCCACTTTTTTTGCCACAGGTGGATGAGGAAGTCCGGGCCTACTACCAGCAGACGATGGATGAGTGGCTGGGCTGTGAGGAGATTGTCCGTCAGCGAGAGAAGGAGCAGCACGCTGCAGCTTTGGCCAAGTGCTCCTCTGGGGCGAGCATGGACAGCTCCTGTCAGAGGATGACCCATCATGACTCCACCGTGAGCAACGAGGTAGAGCGTGCAACAAACATGAAACATTCACTCACAATGGAGCCTGAACCTACAAAGAACCTGTGAAAAGGAATGTTAATAATGCACAACAAAAAAATTAGCATTTTATTTGTTTCTGAGCCAATGGGAGTAGAAGACTATGCAATAGATTGTCTGTTGATGACACACTGAATGTTGTGCCATAGATTAATTATCCTAAATTAACTTTGCAAACAATAAACTCCACACATTTTTTTCCATAACAACTTTGAGGGGAATGTGGATTTTTGACAGATTCATCTGTGAAATGTTTTTGATTGAACAAACACATAAAGGATAATTTACATAGTACACTATTTTAAAAAAAATGTTTTCTTCTCTTGAATTGCTCTGATTCTGCAGTCCCACTCTTCTCAGAGCTCTGATAGGCAGAGTCTGGCTCACCTGCAGAGTGATTCCAGCAGCAGCACACAGGTATTAAAATCATCCTGTCATGCACAACATGAGTGGTTGCAAAACTCAATTAAGAAAAGGCCAAGCTTTATATGACGGACAGCATGTCACCCTCTGGCGTTCATGCCAGAGGTTTAAGCAAAGATTATCTTAGGAGAATTAAAAGGTTTTGCCATGTTGGTCATTACTGTATGCACAGTCTACACAATACACAAGTCCCTTCCATACCCTGAAGCCCCGCGAGAAGTGAAAACCGCAAAGTAGGAATAGTAGTACAAGTAGTAAATAGTAGCTTATTTGTTTCTAAACTCTCAAAGCTCTAAACGAGCACAGCATGTCATGATCTCAGCTCTCTGTCTCTGTGGGTGTGGCCAGTGCTCTTGGCCACACACACTTTTCCGCTGCAGAGCACAGATATGACACGCAGCAGGAGGAGGAAGCTTTTCCTTCAGCTGTGGGCTGCACACATGTACAGCAGGCGTTAAATAATTTAAAATAATTCATTTTAAATAAAAATTCCATACCAATCATGCAGCTCATCCATCAATTGTGTGTCATGTCGAGTCTTACTTTGAAAAACCTTGATAGAGTGAGTCCGCAAAAATAAACCGTGAAGTAGCGAGTGACTACTGTATTATGCAATATAATGTAATATTGTACAATATGGTAGCACTCAGATTATGTTTTTGAATAAACTATCTGCTACTGAAAGGTAATCAGTGATTACTTCCTGAAAGTTTCAGCAAATTCCGCCCAGTGGTTCATTAAATATTTTGCTAACAGATAGACAAACACACCCAGGCTTTTCACTGTTAGGCTTTAAAAATGGCATTCCTTCAAGAAATTTAAGTAACCTAATATAACCTCTGTGAAAGTTTATAATGCTTTATATCCATATTTCATTCTGAAGCATTACTCTCCACCGCTGCACTCTCCTTCCTGCTAGTTCTTCACATCCTCCCATCCCTTCCCCTGGAGTAGTCTGCTTCCCTTTGGCTTGTTCTTTCAGGTGTTTGAGTCTGTGGAGGAGGTGGACCAGATCGAGGTGGAGTCAAAGAGCGAAGAGGCCAAGCAGGTGCCCAAGGTGCCCAACGGAGCTCTGCAGAACGAGACGAGTTCTCCCGACTCCGGGCATCCGTCCTCACGAAACTTCTCCATCACCTCTGGCTTGTCAGATGGCTCCTTCAGCACGGAGGACAGCGCTGCGCCTGATGCGACCCAGAGGGCTGCACCTCAGGCCTCACAGAGCTCTGTGAAACCTGCAGAGGGAGACGGTGAAGCCCTGACAACAGAAAGCCAGGCGACAAATGATAAGGGCAAAGGAGAGGAAGAGAAAGCTTTTGTTGTGAGCAAAAGTGCAGAAACTACTAGCACCGAGGTGATTTCTGGAAAGACGGACAAAGAAGGAGTAAGTCTGCTGCCTGAAACAGCAGAAAACATCGAGTCGGAAACAAGCTCTCTGCTTAATGAGAATACTAAACAAACTAAAACGTCAGCGTCATCGAAAACTGGAAAAGACGGGACTGATGAGACGACGTTGACAGTAACAGCAGCTGCTGCACAATCCAAAGAAGCTGCCCAACAAAGTCCTCACAAAAAAGTGGTTGTGAACGTCAAGGAGACTCCTGAACCTGAAGACAAAAAAGTTAAAACAGTGAAGGAAATGGACAAATCAAAAACAAGTTCAGAGGTTTCACAAGAAACTTTCACAGGCCACAGAGCCCCTGAGGAGGAAAAGAGTCTCACGTGTTCTGCAGGAGCCCGAGTCTTGAGAGCCGGAGGAGTCCACGCTCAGAAAGAAGAGTTCCAGGCTACGACCAGCTCCGATGAGTCTCCCTCAACCGTAGAGATGGAGGAAGTCCTCAAAGCCAACGTTTCCATGGCGCCTTGGGGCAGGAAGAGATATTGTGAGACGTCAACCTTTCCTGAGGATCCACGGTCTCATGTGGAGCGCAGGCAGGAGGAGAAGCTGAGTCCAGAGGGCACAGAGTCCATCTCAGAGCTCGAGATGGAGAGCCTTTACCCTCCGATGGCCGCAGATGAAAACACAAAAATCGAGGAGTCGACTGGGAGCCCTTACTCTGTACGCACATTGTTTTTTAAAAGATAATAATTGTCTTTGTCACAGTGGTTCTCAAGCTTTAGTCAGACATCCCAGAGAGGACAAAAAAAAAAAAACTAATTAAAAATAAAAGGTTGAGAAGTGGGAACTGTTTCTGATTCCTGAAAGAGGAAGCACGTCACAAAAAGTTTGAGAATCACTCGTATATTGTCGGATAAATCGACTCAATCATGAGATTGTTTATTGTCATTATTTTACGTTTTAGCAAGAGCTGTTGGATTTATACACTCTAAACCTGCACCGCATTGATAAGGACGTCCAGCGCTGTGACAGGAACTACTGCTACTTCACCCCGGCCAACCTGGAGAAGCTGCGCAACATCATGTGCAGGTCAGACACTGACACCTGCAGGCATATCATTGACTGTTCGGATTATAATAAAGCTTATTGTTTTATCCACAAACACAAAAATGATCCCTCATCTCCTCAAAGTTTAACAAAAACTGAGGAGATGAGTGAATTCTGGTTGCAGATACTAAAACACCAACCTTTAGCTCTATATCTGTGAAATTGACTTTTAAAGCATTTGTGTTTTCTAAGGTTTATTAGCTTTGGCTGCCATCTTGAAGCAGGTTGCTCCAACATTTATTTAGTTGTAGGTTTATATTCAGTGCTTATTTTCTGAGAGTTTCATTCAAATTCATCCAGTGGATCTTAAAATATTTTGCTAACCTACAAAACACAGAGCTGATCGCTCACCTTGATTATATTTATAAGAACGTTTTAATGCCAGAGTTCTTCTCCGTGAGCGTCATTTAGCATATTTTGGACCACAGACTTGGTTGTTCTGCTCAACGTTGGAAGTTATTTTGATGGACTTGTCTCCAGTGTTGGAAGAAGAGTGAAGAAGCTTCTAAATCTGGAGAAAGTGTGAGTCAGAGAGGAAGAGCAGAGCGAGGCGGGCTTAGGTTCAGCTGCCTTTGTTGTGTATTTACAGCTACATCTGGAGGCACCTCGACATCGGATACGTGCAGGGAATGTGTGATCTGCTGGCTCCGCTCCTCGTCATCCTGGATGATGGTGAGTCAAAACATTGATTCTCTTGTTTTCTGACATTCGGTGTATTTTTAGACTGCTTTAGAAGACCTGGTACGCTCGGTTTCTCACTTTTGCTTCCCATCTCTGCCCTCCTGTCAGAGGCCAAGGCTTTCAGCTGCTTCAGCAAACTCATGAAGAGAATGAACCAAAACTTTCCACACGGGGGGGCTATGGACACTCACTTTGCAAACATGCGCTCTCTAATCCAGGTGACACTGCATACATATTATATCAAGAACTATTACTCGTTAGCCCTTATTTATCGCTTCTTTAATCTCTTTTTATTCTCTCTCACTGTAGATTCTGGACTCTGAGCTGTTTGAGTTAATGCACCAAAACGGAGACTACACCCACTTCTACTTCTGCTACCGCTGGTTTCTCCTGGACTTCAAACGAGGTGAAGGGATGAACGGCCTCATGGAGTCGGTGCCAATTAGGAGGAGAGGATTTACTCTTGTAGAGAAACTGTCAAAACACTCCAAAGCACAAGTAGTGATTAGAGGCTGACAAAGCATAGCTAGAAAACTGTTTGTTAGAGTTGCAGCATAAACAGGCATTTCTCTCACTGGAGGTTTAATTCAGAGTTTTTGTAGGGCTGCCCCATTTTCTGTCTTGATTTTCTGAAATTCATTTCATATTATGTGCCTCATAGGCAGATATTTGATTCCTTTTTTTCTGCACTGATTGTCTGACAGATTCCACTAAAATTCTTAACTCCTGTTTAATATCAAAAACCAAATGCAAACACAAGTGGTACGTTGATGAACAGCGTTTTACTCTGAAGGCAGACAAGCCAAGCTGCTGAAGCCACGACCAAGAAAAACAAAAGAAACTAAAACAATTCGGGGACATTAAAGCTTGATTCCCAACTGCATTTTCAGGCCCAAACACAAACCTCACAGAGTAAACGAATGATATGTGGGTGCTCTAAACTGTGAGTTCATGGGGTCTCAACAGACCACTGTCACATTTTCCTTTACTACAAGAAATCAAGAAAGTTGTGCACACAATAATCACTACGAATGCATTTAACAACAAATACTGATAACTACAAAATTGCTTTAAATTCAGAAAATTTTCTGTTCTACTATTAATTTGGACTCAACCTCTCAAAACCTATTTCTCCTTTATGCAGTTATTTAGACTTCATGCACAGTCATGTTTAGTGGGGCAAGACAGAGTGTCGCAACAAACTATGGGCAAGTTCTGCAGCGGGGTCTGCAAATAGGTAAGCAAAAAAGAATTAAGTAACGACTTATCAGGTGTGCATCAGAGCTGATGTGCACTCAGTGATTGATAGTGGGACGGTCCTGATGCCTGATGCTCTGAAGTGTGTGAGCAAAAAACAGATTATATGGAATGATGAGCGGGAGACAAATGGCTACAAATCTCCTTGTAGATGAAACAAGAAAACCTATGAAGACAAAGACATAGGTGAGCTCAAGAAGAAAAAAAAGTGCAAATAACTAATTTATGACCATTTATTTTTGCGTTTTGCGCTCCAGAGCTGGTGTATGACGACGTGTTCACAGTCTGGGAAACTATCTGGGCAGCCAAGCACGTCTCCTCGAGTCACTTTGTCCTCTTCATCGCCCTGGCGCTGGTGGAGATGTACAGAGACATCATCCTGGAGAACAACATGGACTTCACCGACATCATTAAGTTCTTCAATGGTAAACACATCACCTCACTGACTGCACATGTACAAAAAGTGTGCAATAATTTGTTGCAAAAGGTGAAGCAGCAAGAACATCTATCTATATAATAACCTAAATCTAGTGACTTTACCACTAGAAACAAACATTAAAGCATTGTGTAATGCAAGGGCGTCAGAAGCATCCGTAATGGGGTGGGGGGTGGGGGGGTGCACAATGACGTGTGTGTGTGTGTGTGTGTGTGTGTGTGTGTGTGTGTGTGTGTGTGTGTGTGTGTGTGTGTGTGTGTGTGTCCAAATGAACGTTTTTGTTATGTGGGGGGGGGACATGTCCCCTTCACATATAATGGTTGCGACACCTGTGGTGTAATGATACATTTCAGTACTTTTCCACATGCAAGTAAAGCTGAGTTTGATAAAGTCTGGAAAAAGGCCAAAAATTAAACATCCTGATGCATGCTGAATAATCCAGGTAGAAAAATATAAAAAAGTTAAGTCTGGTCCTCTGGCCATTCAAAAAACAAAACAAAGCAAAAAATAAAATAAAATAAAAATGTAGAAACGTTTCGTCTTTCATTCGAAAGACTTCTTCAGTCTGAGGTGCTGTATTCAGCTCAGTCTTATAAATAGCACCTTCTCAGAGTGGATCAACCAGTTTGCTGCTGACAACCAAAACCAGCTGCTCACATGGTCAAGAAGGATCATCAGCCTAACAATGGATCATTAGCACACGGATGGCTGTTTACTGTTCACAGAGGGTTGAGTGATACTAGCAATCACAGCATTGTAAGAGGGGGACAGTTGAACACGGAGGCCTTATCGTCCGAAAAATATGGTAACCAAGATTTTCAACTCATATTTTGCGCTGACATAGTCCAATTAATTTCAGCGATGTTCAATTTCATTTCACATAATGGCACAGCAGGATAAATTTCATTTAAATTCACTAAATCAGCCTGCCTCAGATCAGGTGAAACGGACCAGCCAGGTTTTATTGGAGGGTAATAACACTGCGAGACGTTCAATGACACAATTTGGTCCGTCTCACTCACACTGCTCTCCAGTTTAGTGCAGCGTCTCCAGGTTTTCACGGCTGTCTGAAGAACAAATAAATAAATAGTGCTTGCTTAGCTCAGGTGTTTTGGTCAAACAGAGCTGAGACACATGGGATGTGCATTTTGTATTCTCTGACTAATCTAACCCTGCAGGTTTCTATCAGGAACAAAACTTTTCAATCCAAGAAGATTTTTAATTTAAAAAATAGCAAAGAAAAATGCATTCTGTGAAAATCCATCCAGTAAACCTTCATAAAAAAATGTTTGCTGCATTACTTCTACTTTATTTTTTGCTGTGTGAAATTCTAGCATGTAAATGAGAGTTTTAGGAGCAGATTGGGTAAAATCAGTGTTACCTGACTACTCTTTGTTTTCTGCGCTGGGATGTTTTGGATCAAGCTAAAGGAAGAAGTTTCTTGCAGGAGTGCTCTCAGCTTTCATTCTGGTGTGACAGACTTCCGAGTGTCTCTTATCAAGGCCAAGGTTATATTTTAACAAGCTCGCAGCTGTTATTGAGTACATTTGAGGATTTGTTTTTCCTGTGCAAATTTCAGAATGCCAGTTGGAAGTTCAACTCTTCCAGTTTAAATCGAATGTTATCTAATTTTCAGCTCATTATTCAAAGTGATTCATTGATGATATTTGTCTCTGTGTGCAATCAAACATGCAAACTTTTAATTGGAACAGGGTTCGCTCGGTTTTAATCTCATTTATCAGGGTGAACCATAGCAGCTGCAGCTGGTAAACATCTGTTTCAGTGCAGTATTCTTGCATTTATTATTATTTTTTTTTTATATCTTTCAGAAATGGCTGAGCGCCACAACATCAAACAGACTTTAACTCTGGCCAGAGACCTGGTGTGCAAGGTGCAGCTGCTGATAGAGAACAAGTGATGGATGTTTTTCGTCCTCGCCTCCTTCTGTGTAAAATGTCAATGGCTGTAGTAGCACAAGAGTAAAGTACACCCATCTCACACATCAACCCTACACAAAGCCTTTTACAATCACAGTTTGCTGCTATGAGCCTTACTGCCTGCATCCTCGCCCACGTGACGAGAAGAGCATCTGTGCGAGCTCACTTAATATCTTAAGAAGTCGCACAGTTCAAGCCAAAACACGCTGAATTCAAACAGAGGCTATATTTATGAGAAAGATAGATTGTTATAAATTATTTTAATACCTGACAAGTTTAAAAAGTCATATACCTTCCTCTTCTTGTCCCTTGATGAAAGAAAAACAAATGTCAACAGGTTTTTAATGTTCTTTACGCACAACATTTTCAGGAATCAAACTTAGCTTCCCACAGGCTGCAACATAATCCAAATTCCATGTACCCACTCCAGATGTAGAACAATTAAGTGTCTTTTTTTTAATTGATTTAACAACCAACAGTGTTTACAGCGTTCATAAACTGCCTTGCCTGCCTGATAGGATGTCTCATTCTATAAGAATTGTTGTGTCCGCCAAGAAAAAGGTGTTTAGATTATGGCAGGACTTGTATATTTATAGCCCTAATGATGTCTGGGCATAAAGTAATATCTTTAAACAAGCTTAATTTCATGATCTTTACCAGTTGTTTTGCATTATGAAGTGAACTTATTTATAATTTGTCATTTGCGCAGCTTCCTCACTTTGATTTGTGTCTCCTACTGTCTATTGCTTGCTTAAGCTAATATACAATAATCAGTGAGGCCAGAGCAGCCGTTTAGTTAGATTATATAAACTCTAAAAAGAAAAAGTTTTCGTAGACAGGCTGTGCATTTTGATCTAAGTTCCCGACACTCATTCCTGTCATTCAGAGCCTGAAACTTCAGTGAGCTGTTCTTCAAGTGTTGTTTGATGAATGTAGTAAGTTTAATTGCATTTATTAAAAGTATTTCTTTGTGAATGCTAACTGCTGTCAGATAACCTATTTGAAATCGACTGTAACATTTTTATGACAAAGTATTTATTTATTTATTCTTTCATTTTCTCTTTTGGATTCTGTTTTCATTGTAAAGCTGATATTTTTTTATTTTGTGCCCAGTGCAACATGCGCATTGTAAAACAATCCAGTTCTTTACAAGTAGTTCATATACATAATATATATTAAATGGTGTATGTTTTTATAATAAAAAATAAAAATGGAATCATTATTTTTCCAAAACATATTGTGGAATTTATTCAATGAAGTTAACGGTGCAAATGGCACAGTCCTGACCGACACATTTATGTTCTCATATTGATTATTAATGTGTTTTTAAATTACAAATGTATAAGCAAAGCTTGTATGTCAGCCACTTCATGCATTTATTTACTGGTATGAAAAGAGCTGAAGTGACTGAAAATATGATTATAGGTCAACCAACCAGCCATATTTGTTAACCCACACAGACTACATACAGTATAATGAGACTCAAGCTTCTATGTGCTTTGTTTACACTGAGTGTAGACCCACATTTTAGAATTGCATTCAAGATATCTGGAAATCTGCAGTAAACTTCATCACACTGGTATGATATAGATTTGATCACCATTTTTTTATGTTGGGTTTTAATTTTTGCAATAAGTACCTTTAATCAAACGGAAACTAAAGGAATTCATAACTGTAGACAGCTGGTAAAAATGAACACAATTAGAACAAATCAAACAATTCAGGGTAAACCTGCAGTAGACGTGTTTTCACATTCTTAACATTTCTGATTTTATACAGTGTATAATATCTTCTTTTGCTCAATTATCTGCATATACTTCAAAAAATAGAACATGAGTGGTTATGATTCACTTAAATAACTTTAATGATTCCTGTACTCATATAAATCATTATAAAGAGCTTTATTTAAAAAAGAGAAACAAAGAAATAGGTGTCAGGTCATCTATTCTCGAAGATTCATTTTGAGTGAAGACTTAAAAGAAGAAAAAAAAACTTACGCCCGAACAGGGACTTGAACCCTGGACCCTCAGATTAAAAGTCTGATGCTCTACCGACTGAGCTATCCGGGCGCTCGTATATTACACAGCGTCGTCATCCTTTTTGACACATCTACATTTACATGAGCATTGGCGCATCCGTTTTATTTGGTTGTGATTCCAGCCCATTTAACGTTCCTATTTCCCTGACTAATTTAGCTAGAAACTTACTTATGTTTTATGGATATTGAAACATTATGGCTATGGTATGCTAAACGTTACCCGCTTTTGATTGGTTACAGTAAATCTGTAGTCGTTGTCTGTAACTGTACGACATCGGCAGATTCCGATTTTTTTTTTTTTTAACAGTTCATAAGCTTTTTAAAATATGTGTATTATCAAATAATATTCAGAATTTTTTTTTATCATACGTCATCTTATTTTAAGAAAACTGGTTGGACGTTTCAGGGAACCCGGAAGTGACCGCCTCTTTTTCCTCCCGCTAACTTGTGCTAACTTCACGTGAAGCTTCAAGCTAGTAGCTTGGTTTATGACTGACCTTTTTGGTAGGAAGGTTGATTAAAATGTGTTTTTTCTTTCATATCGGACACAGCTAGTAGAGTAAACATGCTGCGGATGTCCTCGTTGCTCTTCGTAGTTTCACTAAAAGCTTCCCAGCCTTCATGTAAGCTGTTAACGAAGGGTTTATGCTTATTAAGAAACAGAAGAGTCAGCATCAGATGCCTTCAAGGACCTGTTGTAGCTCGACAGTTCAGCTCTGAGTCACATAATTCGAAGGTAAGATAGGTAAATATGTTGTAGTTTCATTTAATCAGAAATAAAAAATAAAGAAATAAAATAAAAGAAATAAAAGCTAATAGTTTGTTTACACTACCTGTGTATTTTTTCTACAGGTGCCTAGTGTTCCCACATGGAAACCAGTACCAGAAGAGCAGCTTCCCCCGGTAAAAACTGTCTAGTCCAGTTTTCAGGGGACTCGTCCTGCATAGGTTCCAAACTTGAGTGGTCCAAAACCTTTTCTCCAGACCCAACCAGCATGCTGCTACTTTGCTTTTACCAAATTCAGCTTTTAATTGCAGCACTTTGCTGACAAACGCATCAAATACATTTTAGTAATAAGTACACTTCACAGTGACTTAGAAATAAATAATATTGTTGTAATATTTGGAAAATGAGGAATGTGGTAAAGAGGTGAAAACGAGAGTCCAGGCAGGATGGAGTGGATGGAGAAAAGTTTCAGGAGTGATTTGCGATAAAAGGGTGTCAGCAAACGTCAAAGGAAAAGTTTACAAGACAGTGGTGAGACCAGTTATGTTGTATGATCTGGAGACAGTGACATTGACAAAAAGACGGAACTGGAAGTGGCAGAAATGAAGATGTTGAGGTTCTCCTTAGGAGTGACAAGGATGGATAAGATCAGGGATGAGATCATCAGTGGTACAGCACAGGTTGAACAACTGGGAGATAAAGTTAGAGAGACCAGACTGAGATAGTTTGGACGTGTCCAGAGGAGGGACAGTGGGTATATTGGTAGAAGGATGTTAGAAATGCAGCTGCCAGGAAAAGACATAGAGGAGATATATGGATGCAGTTAGAGAGGACATGGAGGTGCTGTGGTGACCCCTGAAGAGGGAAAGACAAGAAGATGAATATTGTAATACTTATTGATTAGGTTGATGTTTACTGGGGTGTGTCCTTAGGTTTTATTTTTTGTTTGTTTCTGCATCACAGTGCCAATCACATAAAATGAAAATTTAAATTGCACAAAAGCAGAGATCACAGAGCTTGACTACTAGAGTAATTAATTGTATTTCACTTATTGTGCATCCTGAATTAAGATTTCTTTGACAACAAGCACATTTTACAAGTAATTTTTAGCAGTGATGGTAGAGAGAAGCTTTCACACACACGGCTCTAAAAAATGCAGTGTTGATTTCACAGCCTGCCGTAGTTCCTGCTGATCTGGTGGACAAGCTGGAGCGACTGGCTTTGGTTGATTTCCGCACCAAACAAGGCCTGGCCTGTTTGGAAAAGGCCATCCGGTTTGCAGATCAGCTTCTCGTGGTCGACACATCAGGAGTTGAACCGATGGATTCAGTTCTGGAGGACAGGTAGTTCTGAGTAACACTAGAAGTTAACATTATAAATTAAAAAGCCTTTTTATATTATTTTTCTGATGTGATTGGGTTTTATCCACGCAGAGTTTTATATCTGAGGGACGACGCAGCGATGGAAGGCGACTGTGCTCAGGAGCTGCTTAAACTCGCCAAACACACAGTTGAAGAATATTTTGTTGCACCACCAGGTACAACAGAAACTTCACTACATTTATCTGTTGCATTTTTAAAATGATCAGATACATTGTTAAAAAATTGGGTGCACTTTTTTCTCATCTTAGTTTTTTTTTTTTTTTTTTTTTTTTTTCAAATTGTTGTACACAGGAAATATTCCTCTACCCAAGAGGGAGGAGAGGACTGCCATGCTGAAACACTCCGAGTTCTGGTGGGTTCATTCTGGTTAATATGTTGATTCATTGCAAGTGTTTTTTGTTTAGTTTTTAAATTAGGAGGTCAAGTGTTTTTTGTTTAGTTTTTAAATTAGGAGGTCACGTGTCTGTCATGAACTACAATATGTGTCAAATGTGCTGGCTGAGGTCATAATCCACATGCTCAGAAATCAAATTAGTAATTTCAGTGTTTCACAAAGACAATATAAGAAACTGACGTGAGTAGCAGATTTTACACTCGTCAGTACTCATCAGAAGCAAAACATCTTCAACAAATGTACAGGTTTCAGTTTCGATTTATGTAATGAAAAGTGAATTAGCTTTTATTCTGATTGCAGCTATGAGAATTCAGAGTAATGGTTTTACTGTACATCACAATGCATACATACAAGTACCTACTTTATTTTAGTCAACTACATTATTTCTATCTGTGTTTATTTTTTCAAGTAAAGATGTTTTATTTTGCAGCTGCTATGTTGTGATAAATGCTTTATGTGGTTTAATATGTTGTGGCCTTTGCTAAAAAGACAAGCAGAGACATTAGCTATGTTTACACGTGCAAAATTCTTTTATCGGATTGAAATGTACTCTGATTGTGATCGGATGTACCCATGATCAGATTGTGCCCATGTAAACGGTGCATTCGGATTAAATAATACTAATGGGCACAATCCGTTCACGACGAGTGCAGCAAGCTTTTATTCAGAATCGAAGTACTGACATGCGCAGAGTGGTAAACTTTCCTTAAAAAAAACACAGAAGAAGAAGTTCTACTTCCGTGATGAACGTAAACAAACCTGAGCGCCCAAAATGGACCCGCGCCAGGTTTTAATGACAGTGGAGACGTTACTGCACTCCCTGATTGAGCTACAGGTAATACAGATCATTTTGAGCTCTTTCAAAGTTTCTAATAGAAATGTTGTTTCGCTCACCAACATATTAGCATTAGCCAGGCGGAAACACATGAGGTTGACAGAGGTCGCACATGCGCAGTCAGGTCAGTTTTCCACAATCAGAATAAAATGATCAGATTAAGTGTTTACATGCACACCATTCGGATTATGAATCGGCAAAAAACACCCCTGTCATTCGGATTACAAATTCATTCGGATCAAGCTGAGTCAGCTCAGAATAATCTGAATGGGGCGTTTACGTTGCGCATTTTTATTCCGAATGGCTGTTTAATCATGTCCATGTAAACATAGCTAATGTCTGGATATGCATATGTTGTTCTTAAACTTGTATGTGTAAACTGCCCATGACATTAGCACAAATGCACCCCAATACCATCAGAGAGGTAGGTTTTTGAACATGGCATTAATAACAGGCTAGATGGTCCCTCGTGCACCCCCTTGCTTTACGACCTCTGACCTAAAGCCATCTGTCAGTAAGTGTTCTCCCTGAAAGTGTCTTGCTCTGAGTGGTTCCTGATTGTTTTTATATGTGGCCATTCCAAGGTCACACTGACATCTGATCAAGCACAGAGTCTTTACATTCTTCTAGTCTCGTATAAAATCACGATGACTGAAAATAAAATTTGTTTATTTGACTTAGTAACTTGTGAGATATGAATAGTGGTCGATCAGTAATGCAATTATTCATTAATTGTGCAATCATTCAATGCAAAGTGTTCTAACACTAGCTTTATTTTTGTCTTACAGAAAACTCCTGCTGTGTAACAGAACTTTGATCAGAGTGAGATGGTCTCGTTCGTACAGACCCCATGGTTACGCCGGTGTCGGCCATCTGGCTTTCTGTCTAGCTGTTGCCAAACCTTTGTTGATAACAGACAAGAGGAAACCTTGGCGGGCCACCTGCAGCTCAGTTCATCTGGAGTTGTCTCTGTTTTTGTTTCGTCTCCCCTCATGTTCCCTTTTGGCTCTTGTCTCTTTATTTGTTAAACTATGTAAAATAACATTTTTGCTTGGAGTCTTTTTTTTTTTTAGTCCTGCAGATAAGACAAAGAGAAACTTCAAGTTAAGCCAAAACTTTTGTACCTCGAAGATTTAAGCCAGTCAACAGTTGCATGCAGCTCGCTGGCTCCTTGCCGACCTGTTTGAAGACATCACCTCCTCTCTCCTTGGATGAGCAGCAGGTCATTGACCCTAACAGCCTCAACCTGCCTCCTTGCCTAGGTGGAAGTCTGACTTCTGAAGTGTCCTAAAAGACAAGTGGCATCTGGTCTCACGCACAGCCTCAGTCCGGTGAGGTACCATCCATCTGATGATAATAGGAGCAGTTTGGGTCTCGTTAATACATTTTAGTTGTATTGTTCACTGTTGACTCAATTTGTTTTTGTAATAAAATCTTAAAAAGACAAAATTCAGACTCCTGTATTGGTAAATATTTTTTTAGATTTCCATGTAATGGTGGAGAGATCTGATAAGCTAAGGCTGATTAATGAATATATTCTATTAAACCAACATGGTGCGTTGCTCTAACAAGAGCTTTAAAGTTTAGTAAAGAAAAATCACCTTCTCAGCTGACCTGCAACACCCATCTTGTTAGTGTGGAGAATATGACGTCTGGTTTATAAATCGCTTTATTTTTTCCTAAAAAGTGCAATTTCTTCAACATTTGAGACCTTTATGAATAAACGACGGGTTTTAAGAGATCTTGTATATTTTATTGTATATTATTATTATTATATTGTATATTTATTGTAAATCACTTCTTGGTCTGCTTCCTTCATTCATCTCCTACATGTCTGCTTGAGTGCAGCTACAGCGTGCACTCTCAGGACATTATTACCTGCAGGGTTCCCTCAATGAGGACTGAACTAGGCAAAAGGGCCTTCTCCTACTCTGCTCCTGTTTCCTGGAATATCTTACAAAAAGATTTGAAGCTCTTGACCTCTCTAAGTGGCTTTAAGAATCTGTTGGACTCCTGGCAGGGACCAATGCTGACATGTTCCTGTTTTTAGTTTTCTACATTTGTCTTGGAATCTAGCTGTTTTTGTTTTTTTTGTTTTGTTACCTTTTCCTTTTAGCCATCCTATTTGTAAAAAAAACCCTGCAGTATGACTTTTTATAACTGTTTCCTGTTCCTGTTGTCCATTGTTGTCATCTTTCTTTGTTGAAATCAGGTCTCTCTTGTAAATGAGTCCTCGAGGCTCAATGGGATTTACCTGTCTAAATAAAGGTTGATTGATTGATATTTATGTAGTATGTGTGTGTGTAATTTTGAAGATGCATTTATCAATTTAAAAAATATTAATAAAAATCAAAATTTCTAAAATTACTGTGGAATTTGTACAGCCTTGTTGTCAGTTTCATTTTTCTTTTTCTGCTGCGTGTTTGTATGTTGTGGATGCCAGTTTCATTTTTGGTTCTGTTTCTGGGCCTGATGAATCAGCACCACCTGATGTGTTGCTCTGACCTCCTCCTGTCAGTAAAATCAGCTGTTCCTCCATCCTACCTGTTTACAGGGGACTTTATGTGTCCCAAACAGCAGATTCATGTTAGAGGAATAGAAACCGAAAGTTACTGAGACCGACAAGGAAAACGAATCCTAAGAGGAGGAGGAGCTGAGTTCAGTCTGTATAAAGAGCTGGAACTTCCTCTGAGCATCTGCAGACCTGCAGATTAATCATTCAGCTGAAACATCATCCCAACAAGGTAGGGCTTGAACAACAGATTATTTAATCAAACTATTATTTCCAGTATAAAACTAGAAACTTGGATTATTTCAGACATAAATCATGGAGATCTTCATCACCATGTTGGACGGGACGTCCCATCCTCTCACTGTAAGCCCTCAGGACACCGTGGGCTCCTTGAAGATCCGCATCCAGGACAAGCTGGGGGAGCCCGCAGAGACCCAGAGGCTGGTCTGTGATAACGGCCAGAGGATCACTCTGGGGGACGACTCCAGGACCCTGGGCTCCTACAACCTGAGATCCGGGTCGCGGGTGTCCCTGCTGGTCACCCGGCCCTCCACCATCCAGGTGTTCCTCAGAAATGAGAAGGGCCAGACGAAGACCTTCCACATCAGACCCGACGAATCCGTGAAGGACTTCCGGATGAGGGTGCAGGAGACCGAGGGGGTCCCTGAGAGCCAGCAGAGGCTGATCCACGAGGGCCGGGAGATGATGGCCGGAAAACTGAAGGACTATGATGTGAAGGAGATGAGCACCATCTACCTGGCCCTGCGCCTGAGAGGAGGCTGAGCACACTCTTTAGTCCTTATTACTATGAAAACTCTAATCATTCCATGTTTATAGATTTTATTTTTATACATGTTTTATTTACACAATGTTCATAAAATTATTGATGAAGATCAGGTGGGATGAAGCCCCACCTAAAAAGTTCTTTCCCTTAAGTAGTTCCTCCTAATAAATAATTTAAATGACATATACTGAGCTTGCTGTGTATTGTTTTGTTTGGTGTATTTATTTATTTTTTCAACTATTCTGACTATTTTTAATGGAATTTTAAATTATTTTTAACCATTAATTTTAAGTTTATTATTTATTGACTGTAATGGGGCACTAATAGTTTAAGATGGTAGTAGCTGAGAGTCACGGCTACAACTCCATCTCTCATAATAAGTTGATCTTAGTTGGTATAAAAAGTTGTGGGTGATATGCTCTCCTTCAGGAATGGGTGTTTATTTCTGTTTTAGTTTAACAAGCATCTGACAGTGAGTGCACTGTAAAAAAAAAAAGACTTTTATTCTGTTACTGTGAATTTACATGAAGGCTACAGTAACATATCCAGAGTTTTAGAGCAGCATGTTAAAGTGGCTTAAACCTGATGCAAGACGTTAATCTGAAGAGCAACAGCACGTCTAAAATTAGGAAGTTCAGTTTTCTCAGTCCTCGGTCAGAGCAATCTTTGAAGAAACTTTACGAGGCATCATTTCCTCACAGATGTGAGGTAGGCGTACCAAAACAGGGCGATCACGTTGGCAAACAGCACTCGAAACTGAAACACACAGAGGAGAATAAACAGATAAATAAAATGAAGTTTTAGACTCATTCTTTGTTAGAGGACAGTAAAAGAAAGAAAGAAAACATACCTGAACAGGCACAAAGTTGATGTTAATAAACTGGAAGGGGGTCCAGACCTTCCAGTTCATCTTCAAAGCTGTCCAGTAACTTTTTCTTAACTTATTTTCAAAGTCTTCCCAACCTTTAGCCTAAAACATAAACGTTTCAACTAATTACACTGCATTTATCTTATGTGTAAAAATACAGCAATGGAGATGCACAGCTACATAATTAGTCAGATTTGTTAAGTATTCAGATAAAAGTACTGTATTTAGAAAATTACATGCGTAAACCCTTTCAAACTGCACCATCTGGTGGTTCAAGATAAACTTTGATGTTTCATTTCATAGTTTGCAATGAGTACCTTTAATTTTACATGCTACTTTTATTTTAATAATAATAATAATGAATTTAATTTGTAACACACTTTTCATTAACAAAAATCTCAAAGTGCTACAGAGTGCAACTAAAATCAATGATAAAAATCAACTAAAATCAATGATAAAATCAACTAAAATCAACTAAAATCTGTGATAAAATCAACTAAAATCAATGATACAATCATGTGGAGGCAGAATAGGCTTGCTTAAAAAGAAAAGTCTTTAAGCCTTTTTTAAAGTCAGTCAATGATTGTGGAGCTCTCAGATATTCAGGGAGGGAAGTCCAGGGGTGGGGGGCAGCCACACAGAATGCCCGATCTCCCATGGTTCTTAATTTAGTTCATGGAAGGTGGAGAAGATGACTGTTCTGTGATCTAGGGACCGGGTGGATGAATATGGAGCAAGAAGGTCCTTCAGATAATCTGGTGAATTTCCGTATAAACACTGATTGTTGATGAGAGCAATTTTGTACTGAATTCTGTAGGTGACAGGAAGCCAATGGAGGTTATGGAGAATGGGTGTAATATGTTCAAATTTACGAGCTCTCAATAAAATCCTGGCTGCACTGTTTTGAATATGTTGAAGCTTCTGAAGGTTTTTGCCGGGTATTCCAGTAAACAGGGAGTTGCAGTAGTCGAGCCTGGAGGAGACAAAAGCATGTACGAGTTTCTCTGCATCAGCAAAAGTGAGAGATGGGCGCAGTTTGGAGATATTTCGAAGATGGAAGAAACAGGTTTTAAACAGATGCTTAATGTGATTTTCAAATGTAAGCTGAGAGTCCATTTTTATTCCAAGATTTGTAACAGAGGTGGAGAGGGGGATGTCTTGTCCAGAAAATGAAATAGTCGTTATAGTTGAAGTTTGAACCTGGTGAGGGGTGCCAATCAGTATGGCCTCTGTTTTGGAGCAGTTTAACTGAAGAAAGTTCTGATTCATCCATGCCCTTATCTCCTCCAGGCAGGTAGAGAGGACAGCGAGTGAGTATGGAGATGACAGTGGTGAAGATGATGCTCCAGTCCTGATGTAAAGCTGTGTATCATCGGCATAACAGTAAAAAGAAATGTTGTACTGGTAAATAAATAAAGTGGTACTGATTAATAATTTGACCTAAAGGCAACATGTAAAGGGAAAATAGCAGGGGCCCTAAAACTGACCCTTGAGGGACACCACAGGAGACACAGACAGTCTGGGACTTGGCATTGCCAAGACTAACACTATTAGACTATTTTAGTGTTTGCAGCAACTATCTACAGCATGCAAAATAAACAGTTGTGTCCAAACTTTTGATGTGTTATGGTGGAGCTAAAAGTCTTGAAATCTCAATCAATCCTGCAAAAAATGTGAATCAAGCTTTTCTTTTGTCAAACCCCCCCCCAAAAGAATTTAGTGGAAGAACATCATATATTTTCGCTTGGCTGATACAGAAGGACAGATCCTGAGGAGAAAACTCACCTCCAGGATGTTCATAACTGAGTAGAAAAGGAGCAGAAATCCTGGGGCAAAAAAAAGCCGATCCAGTAGCAGACGTTTGATCACACATAATGGATCTGTGGTGGGCATCCACACCTCCATCAACTGGTAAAAGTAATGGCTCACTGGTCCTGTGATTATTAACCTGTGAATGGGGAAAAAAAAGTTTGACTATAGCTACATCAGCATGCAGAATTTTATAAATAACAGCACACAAGGATCTCCACAGGGCTGTGTGCTTTCCCCCCTGCTCTTCTCCCTGTACACCAACTGCTGCACCTCCAGCCATGGCTCTGTGAAACTTATTAAGTTTGCAGATGACACCACCCTCATCGGGCTCATCTCGGACGGTGATGAGTCTGCATACAGGAGGGAGGTGGACCGGCTGGTGACCTGGTGCAGCAGCAACAACCTGGAACTCAATGCCCGGTAGACAGTGGAGATGATTGTGGATTTCAGGAAAGCCACAGCCCCTCTGGCCCCCCTCACCTGTAATGATACCCCCATCACCACTGCGAACTCTTATCGGTTCCTCGGCACCACCATCACCCAGGACCTCAAGTGGGAGCCGACCATCAGCTCCCTCATCAAGAAGGCCCAGCAGAGACTGTACTTCCTGCGACAGCTGAAGAAGGCCAAGCTGCCGGCCAAGCTGATGGTGCAGTTCTACACGGCCATCATCGAGTCCATCCTCAGCTCCATCACGGTGTGGTACGCCGGGGCCACTGCCAGGGAAAGACTCAGACTGCAGCGCGTTGTGCGCTCAGCTGAGAAGGTGATCGGCTGCAGCCTTCCATCCCTCCACGACCTGTACGTCTCCAGGACTGTGAGGCGAGCAGGTCGGATCACAGCTGACCCTGCTCACACTGCACACGGACTGTTTGAACCACTCCCCTCAGGCAGGAGGCTTCGGTCCATTCGGACCAGAACCTCCCGCCGTAAGAACAGTTTCTTCCCCTCTGCTGTTGGACTCCTGAACACTCATAATGCTACCTCATAATTTCTGCTTTGGTCACATTATATCTGTATCATAACTGAATACTCCATCTGTACTGTTCTCTAAGCTTTTTTATTGTTTTCTATTGTATGGGTGTACACATGTTTTACGTTATGCTTTCATTTTTACTTTATTTATGGATGCACACGTTTTTTGTTTTATGTAATGTTTTCATTTTTACTTTATTCTACTTTATTACTATTCGCACCTTTATGTAGAAGCAAATTCCTAGTTTGTGAACCTCGTTCATTGACATGGCAATAATAAACTGATTCTGATACAAAAGACAAGTAAACGTTAAAAACAATACAATTATAGCAAAAAACAGATTTATTTAATTATTGCAGCATGTTTTTGTGCCCGTTATATATTATTATTTACAACACAACATTACAACTTTATTGTTGCCATACAGTCATCTGAAGTCGTGCAGCTTTTGGTGTTCTCACCCATAAATGGCATATCGAGTAGCTCCAGCCACATCGATGTCGTTGACCTGAGCTCCACTTTTGGACTTTTTTCTTGCCTCCAAATACTGTGAGAGCAGGTTTCCTAAAGCTGAGAGGATGCCACTGAAATAACAAACACACATAAAACTTCCAATAGGCAACAGACACTTAACAAGCTTTCTTTAAAACGTTGAATTAAAGAAAATCATTTTGATGTTGTTAGGGGAGGTTCTCCTGCCAGATGCTGATTGGCTGAACAACTTTTGTGTGCTCAGTGCACTGAGAGTACTTTGTAAAGGCAAACATCTGGTTGGGGTTGGACATTTTTAACAACCTAATAAAAATAGATACGGACTATTTCTACTATCCATTTGAAAATACGCTTATTTTTGTAGTTAATTGCTGAAAACAGAGCAATAAGGCAGATGCGGTTTCAGGAGCAGTGTTACTCACCTGGTAACAGATTTGGTGAGTATCGGGTATTTTTTCAGAAGGACCAAATACTGCTGAAGCAGACTGAAATGAACGGACCCATCCCGGACTGGCAGACTCTTCACCGGCATTGTTATTCCTCTGATTCTACACTGACACCACACAAAAGCGAGGCTTCTTCCTGTTACGTCATAAGCGAAGCCACGCCTTCACGTTGAAAACCGGAAGTATTTGTCTGAGGTTTTTTTTTTTTTTTTACGTAAGACTTCTGAAGAGGGAAGCTGACAAAACTGACACTTGAAAGGTTTTGACATCCTTTTTTTTTGCTATCTACTTTTTGACAGAAGTATGCGTATTTGAGACAATTTTTGAATCTATTTCTATTTTTTTTTTCTAGTTTTAGTTCAAGGTTCTTTATTGTCATTTGCAATCGCATCACATGTGGTACATGAGGTGGAACGAAATTGTTAAAAAATTTAAGACTGTTAATCTTACCTTGATCATAACAAAGTTTAGTAACTTTAATAGTACTGTTTGTGTGGCTGATAAAAACACTTAAGATTTTACAGGACAAGATGAAGGAAATATCAAATAAGGGGGGAGGACACAAATTACAATACTTAAAATAGTATTTTATGGGTTTAATATTAAACAAAAGGAGGACAGAACTATTTCAAAGTTCAGTAGTAATGATACGTTCTGCATTACAGGTGTGTGCTTACAAAAAAAAAATATACAACACACAATGCTCAGAACAGTTGTAATCATCAAACATCTTAGCAGAAAATAAAAAAAGAAAAGACAACTTTTTATTGTGCACGCTAAAAAAGGTAAACAGTGAACACATATTTACAACAAATAAACCAGTCAACATTTAAGGAACCAAAACAGTAAGTTTGAAGGCACGGAAGGTGAAAAAAAAAAAGCTTACAGAATCAACAAGTAACGTGAACTGTTCACCAAAGCCATCAAAATATGACTCAAACTAAAAATAAAAAGCTTATAGTTGGATTTTGATTTGTAGTTAATAAACACACATATTAGAAAAGCCAACATGTATTCAACCTAAAGAGCCGTCCAGTCTATGGGAGACTTTCCTGATGTCTGCAGCAGCTCGTTGGCCTTTGAAAAATGCCTGCACCCAAAAAACCCTCGATGAGCGGACAGAGGAGAAGGGTGCACAGCCTGCAGGACGTAGTGGCGCTTCTATAAAACAAACAGCAGGAAGCTTAGTTAGATATGAGCAGCTGCTGACAGTGCTGCAATGAATAAAGAGCAGACTCACCCTGTTAATAGCAGCTCCTTTCTTCTGAGCATATAAGCCCCACAGCATGAAGACGATGCCCTCCAGATTGTTGCTGAGCCACTGCACCACAGCGTCAGTGAACACCTCCCAGCCTTTCTCTTTGTGAGAGTTGGCTTGGTGTGCTCGGACCGTCAGCACCGCATTGAGCAACAAAACGCCTGGCGAGCCAATCCAGAAAGAAACAGTGGCTGGTTTGTTAATGTGCTCCGGTGTTAATCATTTAACAGACTGGAACTATTAAAAAAAAAAATACCCTGTTTGGCCCATCCAGTGAGATCTCCATGACCGGGGTGCTGAAAACCTTCAATGTCTGACGCCAGTTCTTTGTACATGTTCTCCAAACTGAAAAAAAAAAATGCATGAAAGAGGTGGTGTGAAAAGACTGCCTTAAAAGCTCTGAGTGAAGAAAACACATCCATCACATCTGGACTGATTTCATCTTCAATGAGCTCAAATCCTGGTTTTCAAACCTGGGAGGGGGAGGAACTGGTCTTTTCACACTGAAGCACAGTCCATGGGCCTGGTTAGGACCATGATAGGGATCCTGGCCCAGAATTACCACTTTGACCTGGAGAGAGATACATCATCATGCCATTTTAGCAACTCTATCCCAAGACAGGCTGCGGATTTTTATATATTTAACAGTGGCTTGGTTTTTGAAGAATACACAATTTTGTGCAAGAGATGATCTTATTTGACTGAGAATGTGTAATTTATTCTATGATTGTTTGCGTTAGTAAGTCTATTCTAGTACTTATACAAAGAGCTCTTCCTCCAGATCCGAGACTCCCACACTTCACCTAATCTGTGTGTTAAACTTCCTGATAGACCATCCAGATGGTCAGAGTGGGCCTCCACATTTCCACAGCACTCAGTCTGAGCACTGGCTCCCCACAGGGCTGTGTACCTTCCACCTATGATTGCACTGCACTCACCCACCACAAAAACATCATTGTCAAAAGTTCTGATGACACAAGAGGGATGGGGCTGATTACTGCAGGTAACAAGTACAGAGACGAGATGGTGCAGCCAACTATGTAGTGGAAAAACAACAACTTGCTCTGAAACACAACCAAGACCAAGGAACTTATACTAAAGGAAGAACAAAATGACATTCAGCCACTTAACAGAAACGGCGTGGAGAGGGTACCACATATTTTGTCTTTTTGAGAGTACATGACAAAAGACCTAACCTGAGGAGCAAACACCACTGAGGTGGTGAAGAAGGTCCAGCAGAGACTTTACCTTCAGAGGTTCCTCTTGAGGAACATCTCTCAAAGATTGTTGGTGGCCTACTATCGGAAAGAGACTACCGGTATTCACACATACTGCTTCTGTGTGTGGGTTTCTAACGGTGCTGTGGTGCAGAGGAAACCACTTCAAAGTGTCAGAGAGTGGCCCAGAAAACTTCTGTATTACTGGCTGTCCCCTCCCTGCTCTGAAAGAACTATGAAGTTCCTACTGCCCCTGAAAAGCTCAGAAAACACAGAAGACGACGCCACAACCAGGACATAATCTTAAAGAAGAAGAATAAACAGAACAAGCCAAATAACAGCTTTTATCCAACTACAGTACTTTAAAGCCGCTAAAAGCTGCCAATGGTTGTTTCAGTGTCCACAATTATCTACAGATGTGTGTAACTGCAATTTTGTCTTTGTTTTTCTTTTAAACTTAAGTATTTTTATTCAAGTATGGCTCCTTCTTTTCATACTACAATAACAAATATCCCATTTTTTTCCCTGTATTTTATACATATAGATATTATAAGTCTGACTCATAACTCACATCCCGGATGGCACACGTCTGAGTCCAGGTGAAGACATGCTCAGCAGGTGGGTAAACAGTGTGGCGTTTTCTCTCTTCAGACACTAAACTCATCAGCTGTGACAAAGACATGAAACCATCAGAGCTGCTACAGGTTATCAGCCAGCACGAGCAGCTACTCTCGGTCTCTACCTGTTTGAAGTACGGCTTCACGAACTCCGAGGACAGCTCCTTCCTCCAGCTCTCCCCGAACTCTGGTGGAGTTTGAGCGGAAGCGAGTCTCTCCAGCGCCGCTAGCTTGTTGCGGGCGATCCTGTCCTGCTGCTCCGCGGTCAGGGGACAGAGACTCGGGCTGTGCGGCTCCACCACAGCGGACTTCTGCTTCTTCTGAATGATTTTAATGTATTGAGCAAAGCAGAGACTCGGTGAGAAAGCCTGGAGTGAAAGCGGCTTTAAAAACGTTCGACAAAGCGGAGCTAGCGTTCTCATGTTATGCTGAGCGGTTAGCATCACGCTGACAACTGAGAAAACCGAGGTGACCCTGAACGCAGCTTTGATCACGGCGCTTAAGGAGAAACTACAAAACTTTGAAATACTACAAGAAATGTAAGTGTTTTAGCAAGAAATAACGCCATGTTTCAAAACTGCATGATGTTTATGTGAGTTGACACTCACCGGCTCTTTCGTATTCCCCTCGGTATCATTTAACTCTTTAAAAACCCTCTTCTTTGAAACTGGGGAGAAAAATGAATTAATAGTTTTCTGTCCAATCATTTTTCCAAGAGACACAGTGGCTGTGAGCTGCGGTAAAACGATCTAAGTCAATTAATCTAAAAACAAGAGCCAAAATGCTGAAGGACCTCTGAAAATCGCTCCAGCGTGAATGAAAAGAAAAAACAAATTCGCGCCAGAACACGGTGACGTCATACATTATGATAATGAGCTGAGTTCTGTTCAAGACGCCAAGTCATTTTAAGCAATTCACGGTTTTGGTCGAACTTAACTAATGTTTTTCTTTTTTAAGCTAAAGTGAGTGTTCTCTGTTAAAAAAAAAAAAAAAGAACTGAGACATTTAATTGAAGTGAATTTTTTTTTCTTTCTGAACTTATACAGTATATGCGTCAAATAAAATCAAAATTGATTAAAGAGCTAATACAAAATGAAAAAAGATGTTTCTGGTATATTCTATAAGAATGGAGCACTGCATAATAAATCGAACATATGGACATAGAACAGGACTCTTCAACTAAACTGCTCAGGGGCTGGAGTAATTAATGTCATTATGTAAATAAACCAAGTATTAAAATGATCTGTTACCTTTTAAAAATATTGCTACATTGAACTATAAATGCAATAAATAGAACCCAAAAGTGTAATTCAAAGAAAATACATTTCAAGATGTATTTCCTTGCAATAAAATTAGTTATTCTAATGTGAAACAAAATTAAAACCAAAAATGACACACTATATGCCTTTTATTTAACGCACATATTATTCTGCCATCTATGACTTGCTAAATCTTTATACTTTTTTAAATTAAAATAATAATAAAAATGCTGACCGGTTTGGATGTTCCTTGAATGATCGACATGTTACTGTGAGAGAATCAGCACCAAATTAACACCAAGACATGGATATTTGTAGGCCCCAAATTAAATGTGTGTCTCTGTTTAATTTAATTTAATTTTTCACCAAACTCAGTCTCTCAGAGTCCTGTGTGAGCTGTGCAGCCTTGTTGAAATTATATGTTCAATGTTTCTGACTGTTGACAATGTTTCTGAGTGTAGAAGTGGGTTATTCTTAGGCCGGTCATGATAACAAATTTTGCTGGGCGATTAATTGTCTCAGAAATTATTGCAATAAATGATATTGTTTGAAATTTGACAATAATTAGTAATTGATGTCAAATTAAAGAAGAAATGTTGGTTAATTTATTTTGCATGTACTTTTTTCAACCACCGGATGGCAGTATAAGACTGTTTGAACCGAAGGATGGATAGTGAGGGAGCGAGCAGCGTATCTCGTTAAGAAAAGGAGAAGGAGGCCCCTTGACGGGACATGGGCTGTCTCTCTTTCCTTTTTCGGTTCTCAAAATGACGGCTGCTCAGTGTGGTTTGAGCTCTTTAGCATAGCATTTTTCACACGAAGCTTTTAATAAAAAAAAAAAAATCATTAAACAAGTTCTCAGCTTCTTTTTGCAGAGAAAAACAACTTTTTACACAAAGGCACGTGTTTAAACTGTGAATTTTGAAGCTTTGACAAGACTTGAGTTTTTTTTTCCCCCAATGTCGACCTGTTAGCTTAGCTCGTAACTTAGCTTCTCAGCTTAGTTGCTTTTAACAATTCAAAAACGCGATTTGGACAATTAAAACAGATTTTAAAGAGAAAGGGAGGGGTCAGTGAAGAACACCGGAGTTGAGCCTTTTGTCATCCAGTGTCTTCAGAAGAAAGAGAGACACGAAGAAACGATAAAGCCGATAAATGAAAATGAGGTCTATAATTTTCATTTTTCATGCAATTAACTGATTTATTGTTTATCGCGACAGGCCTAGTTGTTCTTGTTCAGGTTTGCTTCGGCATTTATGTTGACATTTCTGTTATTGGCTGTAAACTGACCCTGAGTCAGAGGTTGTTCCCAGTATGTATTTCCTGGTTGAAAGACAATGTCTCAGGGTGATGTCTGGCCTGTCCATAGTCAATGCTTTCAATGAGGAGGGGGCTCTTTTTAAAGTGTTCTTCTGTATGCTTGTGAAAATGTTGAAAATTGAGCTGGGCATATAACAGGATTGCCTCTCTGACTGAAATATTTACCATTTTAAATGTTTAAAGGTCTGTATTTTAAATTAATGAACTCATCAGCGGGCTGGACTTAAGTCACCCGCAGGCCGGAAGTGGCCCGCGCACCACCAGTTGAATAACCCTGCCTTAGAATAAAAAAACTCTGCCTTAGAATAAAAAAGTCATTCTACTTTTTTCACTTGCACTGAAACCCCTTTTGTTTTTGTTGACTTCTATAGGGAAAGTAAACCACTAAAACCATCAATGCACCTTCAGCAGAGGAAAAATCTTCAATTTCATTGCCAGAATAAACGTTTGTGCAGTGAAGACGTCCTACAAAGAAGTCCAAGGAAAAAAAAAAAACTTGAGGAAGATGCAAGCGTAAATGTAAACGACACGGACACAGATTTGGGCGAGTTCTCTCATCCTATTCCTTGGCAAAAACTCCAGGCAGAGGAACTAGACTGTGATTATGCATTGCTCTTCTCGAAGCGGGAGGCAGATGATCTATTCACACAGCTGGAGGAGGAGGTGGTGTACTCAACAGGTACATCGACTTGTCTTCTGTAGAACTTGAACATAGAATTATGACACAGTTGAATGACTGCTGCTGTTTTTCTTCCAGGAGATGAAGCAAAGGTCCAAGTGTTTGGAAAGGTGTTTAATATACCCAGAAAACAGGCAACCTATGGAGACGCGGGCCTAACTTATGCTTATTCTGGAATAAGACGTTCAGCCAGCCCGTGGACTCCAACCTTGGAATATATCCGAGACGCGGTCACGAAAGCAACAGGACAGACGTTCAACTTTGTCTTGATCAACAGGTAACGTGTGACCAGCAAGGCTACGGTTTAAGATAAGCAGGAGCGCTTTAAAGGGACAGGCGCTCGAATCTGAAACAGACCTGTAAAGAACACGACCTGTTAAACAACCAAAACCATTTTAAAGCAAACAGCACCACGTGTTAGTCTTTCACCCTGCCTGGGATCTGTGCATTAACTTTTATTAATGAGTGGATGGAGATGCAGGTTAATTCTGACCTGGGTGGTGCATGATGGGAAGTTTGGTTCTCTCCATAATGACAACTTTCTATTTTCCATTTGACACGTCCCAAATAATGTTTGACTTCCCTGTAGTTGATTAGAAAATCATTTTCATTCACCAGTAATGGAAGATCTGATCATCTTGCTTCTTTGCAAATGGTTTGAAGTTTGTTTTTCACCATCTTCAGTTTAAAACTCACAAAGTTCTATGATTGTTGTGGACACCCATATCTTCAGCATCTCGGTCTGTTTTCCTTCAGTTCTCTCAGCGTTTTTCTTCCTTCTCCTTTACATGTTTTGGAAGAGTTAGTGCAGGTCGGCGAGGCTCCGTTTGATCACACAGCTTGATGAATTTGAGGACATGAGCAGGCTGGATGTTGTAGTCCAAGAAGACGTGATAGTAGATCATATCAAACCCCAGCTTCCTCATCCTGACCTTCAGTACCTTCAATGTTCTCACTTTGTCACTACAGCTTCTGTCTCTCTTCCTTGTCTCCCTTTCTCTGCACACTTTCACTCAACTCTGGCTCAGCGTTGTCTCATGTCTGACCTGTCACTCTCTAGTTCTCCACCTGAGAACATTCACAGTCTCCTTTATCTATCTATCAAATATTTAATCAACAATACTGAACAACTCGATACAGTGCACATTCCTTAAACGATGAACCTGAAATAATATCAGATGTTCTAGATTTTAGTTTCACAGTCATGACGTATAATTAGTATAAGTGTTATTCTTGTGCCCATTTTCTGCGTGCTAGCTGGAGATTTGCTGCCTTTCACAGACATGTTGAGCATATTTAGTTTCTCCTCATGTTTCTTTCTTTTGCAGGGCACCTTCGTTCTGCAGAGTAAAGTATTTTTACTTTAGTCATGTATTATATAACCAGATTTTAGCAAGATTTTCAGATATTACATACAGTATTTTTCGCTGTATAAGTCGCACCTTTTTGCATAAATTTGAAAGTCCTGCGACTTATACACCAAAGCGACTAATATACTTTTTTTTTTTCTTATATTTATAACCTAATTTTTGGCTGAGATCTGATGATTTCATTTATTTTGACATGGAAAATATTGAACACTACCATTTTCAACCACTAGAGGGCCCTCGAGTAATATGGCAAGCCAAGTGTCTCGTAAATAAGTAAAAGTGGTTATTAATGAGACACTTGGCTTGCCATACCTGCCACCTTCATCTGGCTCTGGAACTCCTTGAACAAACATCTAATCAGTTGCATTTCGCCGCGCCGCCCAGGTGAAATGCAACTGATTTGGCCATTAAAGTGCATTTATTAAGGAAAAGTTCAACTGGAGACACACCTTTACTATAATGTCGAGCAAACAAATAATTGTTTTAAATTTGAATCTTGCTAAATTCAGTTTTTTTTTTCTAACTGGCTCTCTAACGAGGCGCAGGCGTTCCTTCCCGCTCCCTGTTCTCCTCCTGCTTTTTTGCTCTCTGTGTATCAGAGCAGCTTATTCAGCCCCCTTTCTGCTGACTTTTATACTTTATTATTTTTTATTCCACATAAAGATTATAAAAGTTTCACTTTGTTTCCCTTCCTGTCTGGAAGATACATGCACAGAACAAGAGGTGAGTAAACCTTAAAGCCATAACAGCTGCCAAATGGTGCCTTTTTTTGTTGTTGTTATGCTTCTAAAACAATTTTTATATCATTAACTGACTGATGTAAATCAAACTCATCAGTTTTAAAAAAAAATGCTTTAGAAAAGGTGCAAAATGTTGCTAAATTAATATGCATCATAAAATTGAAAACATTTAAGACTTTTGGGAAAATATTCTGTGGACCGACAAGACTTTCTGGATGTTGTATGTCCTATTGCATCTGATGTAAAACTAACACTGCGACTCAAAAGAAGAACATCATGCATCAAACATGGTGGTGGTAATATCATGGTCTGGGGCTCCTTTGCTGCTTCAGACTTGCAGTAATTGAAGGAAACGTGAATTCTGCTTTCTAGCAGAAAATCTTGGCGAACATCCGGCTGTCAGTTTGTGACCTTAAGCTAAAGAGCACGGGTTCTGCAGCTGATGATCCAAAGCACTGCAGCAAAAATCCTCCACAGCCACATGAAACATTGACAGGATATAGTGTCCAGTTTCTGTAGGTTAAAGTTGGCACCACATGATAAGTCAAATAAAGGCTCAGTTTCGGTCTAAAAGAATGGAAAATAAATGCAGTTAAAAAAAGCTCCAGAACTGTTTTTACATTACAAGTGGCACAAGATCCATCTACACCCTTTCTAGTTCATTTATTTAGGAACTGGCTTGTTAAAAACAGTCACGTGCTGAAACGTTTGTCCTTCCTCCAGGTACAAAGACGGGCAGGACCACATGGGAGAGCATCGTGACGACGAGAAGGAGCTGGACCCGTCCTGTCCCATCGCCTCCGTCTCCCTGGGAGCAGCTCGAGACTTCGTCTTCAGACACAGAGACTCTCGAGGAAAACGCAGCAGCCGTCAGATCAAGCCCGTGAAGCTGGAGCTCGCTCATGGAAGCCTGCTCCTCATGAACCCGCCGACCAACACCTTCTGGTACCACAGCCTTCCTGCTCGGAAGAAGGTTCTCTCGCCTCGCATCAACCTCACCTTTAGACGCATCTTACCGGGCAGTTAGAAATGAAAAGCTGTCACTTCTTATGCAAATCAACCAATTCAAACCAGCGAACATAAACTGACAACTAGCACATGAGATGAGTGAAGACCAAACTGGACTTTGGAGGACTGGAGTTTTCTGAGCATATCAAGATTTATTTAAACTCAGATTATCCCAGATGCTGAAAAACAAGCTTTAAAAAAAACATAACTACTTTATTACCAAGTAATAAAAAATCTCAATTGCATTTTTATTATTATTTTTTATATCTGAAAACAATCACATTTAAAGACTTTACACAAAAACATTCCAGCTCACATACATGTAGTGCAAACATCACATTATATCAAATCGTTTTTCCATATTCCTGGTTTGGTACAAAATGGTTATCCATTTCTCAGATTTAAAAATAATAATAATAATAATAAAATGTTCAGGGAAAAATACCCAGAAACATTTAGACATAATTAAGCTTTGATCATAATTATTCTAGTGAACACCACTGCTGTTCATTTCCCATAGGACGGTCACTTCAGGGGCTGCACATGTGGTTTACCGTTTAAAAAATCTCAATCGTTTAAAAAGAACATGATGCATGATCCTCAACCATGCAGCTCTGCAAACTATGACCTGGCACAGATGACTGAAAACAGCCCAAACAAATAGCATAAACCTTGTCAATTAAAACATTTTGATAATAGTTGTTTTATAATGTGTAACAACTTCAAAATAACCTCTAATCAGCTACGGTTGTGTCTGTAAATTACAAGTGATAAACAAGTCAACAGGAATTGTTTCATTCACATTTACGCATCGAGGTAACCGTGCCACAGCTGCAACAAAAAGAAAAGGGTGAGCTGTTTGTGTACAGTGCATCATATTGTTGTTATTTCTGTTTCCATGTCATGTAAAGTCATGATCTAACTTAAAGAAATGGTTAAAAAAGTCAGAGAAAAGTAGCTTACATGACAAAAATATATACTGCAGCTCCGTTATCTTTGGGATTACGAGCTTCCTGCTGTGATAAGAGCAGCAGGAAGTGTCCACCACTCAGCATACTAACACACGACGCTGAACTACGGATGCTCCCGAGACGACCGCCCCCAGCACAGTTTACCGTCACTCATCTGAGCACGTGCTGAGGCTCGGTCTGCAAACTCTCTCATAGAAGAGCATGTAGGCGTTGGAAGACAGCACCTCGTGCAGGCTGGATTTTCGTACCGAGCCGTCCGATACCCAAAGCCACTGCGAGCTGAAGGCGGAGGAGCCGCGAGGTGAGGAGGGGCTGCGGCGGTACGTGATGAAATGTCCTGAGTGCATGTCCCCGTGGTGAACCAGCACAGACATGAGCTGAAACAAGTACTCTGTCGAGCTGGAAGGGAAGACGCTGGAATCAAGAGAAATACACGCGATTAGCTCAGAACTAAACCATCTGCTGGGATTATATTTCCACCTTTACTCGCATCATTTCAGGAGAGTCTAACATGTAAGAAACACAACTCGTAAACATTTCAAACACATTTTCAAATCGACTAAAGGTGGTTAATTTAGTTTTTATGTCTGAACACTGAAACTGTTCCTCTTTCTATAAGAATTGTGTTCAGTTTTATAACAAGTCCACACTGCTTTATGTAAAGGGATAACTTAATGCCAGATTCAATTACTTTAGTATAATTATGCGTTTTTAAATTATTTGGCCCCATAAAGTTTTGAATGGAACACATTTGGATCAGAAAATCAATTCTGTAGCGTCACACTATAAAATAAATATTTGTACTTTGCAGCATGATAATATTTTCACAACGCTGTAAGCAATAATAATCTACAACTGCTAAATCTTAAAAGCCTTTTCCTTCTCCAATAATTTATTTCTGTTCTTCTACAGTTCAGGGCCTCTTTTTATCCACTGAATACTAATGAAGTAAAATAAATACTACTGGGGGAATTAATTAGTCCCTGAAGCTTACACAGTTACTCTAACCACTTGCGTGACATTTTCTTAAATAATGTTTTATACATTTAGTTTTTCCTCATCACAACTTTTTTTTTAAGTAGGTGGTAATAAATAAATAAAACAAGGCATGTAATTTTTAAAAAGGATTGTTTAAGCATATGGTTTAACAGTCCACTGAATATAAAAAGTTTCATTCAGATGCAAATCTTAGTGCCGTGTTTAAAAAGCTTGTTGGAAAAAAAAAAAGCTGCACGTCACAAATGTAACGCTGTACTTCCAATGCAATAAAAATTCCCTTTGACGCTTCTTTAAAACACGTCACTCAGATTTGTGTAGAAACATGTACAATCTACTCAACACAAGTTCACGCAGAATCCTCTCGGGCAAACATTAAGGAGCAAAATCACTTAATTTCCTTATCGCTGGTTTTCCTAATATGCGTGAGCTAAATTAATTTTACCTGTAGTCATATGTGAGGGCAAGCTGTGGGTTTAAACCAGGAGAGTGAATAAACACCGGAGAACAGGTTCCATTAGAGAAAGTTTTGTTGTTGTTATCTGCAAAAAAACGGTACAAGTGTGAGACGACAAAAAGCAAACATGAAGCGTGCTGATACTGCTCTCTTGGCAACACACCGGTCTCATTAGCTTTGGGTTTTTCTGTGGAATCGTTTAAAATTTCCGCCTGTGGAGCTTTGGGAGCACATCGGATCCGCTGATGACCGCGTGCGGAGCCGTTGTGTTTGTAGCGATCCATCGATAGAAACTCTGTGAACTGCACGTGCTCCTGACGCTTGATGGGAGTTCCTTGACTGGACCACGTCAGTTTTTGTAGATGGATACACAGGCACTGAGGGAGCTAACAGATTAAACTGTTAGGTGTGTTGGTTACAATAATCTCAAGCTTTCAGTCTGCAGAGGCACAATGAATGCAAAGACCTTTCCAAGTTTGAGCTGTTTAACAAATGTGGTCCTCTGGCTTTCTAAAACTTGTCCGTTTACAGCTGTACTTTGTTGAAGCTGGAAAAAAAAAAAGAAGCAGATGAAAGTAAAAAAAAAAAACACAATGCATGCTCATGAAGAAAACAACTGGACTCTTTATACATAGGGCTGAGTACCGAACCGAGGTTCTTTTATGGCACCGACCGAACTGCGTCGGTCAGTGTATGGATTGAAACGTCACTCTTCTTTCGGTGTCAAGTTTCGGTATTGGCTGTAACGTGTCACGTGGTTTCAGCATGCAGACAGGTAAAACACCAGACATATGACAAACAGACTACGTGTTTACACCCAGAGCTGTATAGAGCTGCCCTACAGCTTGTATGTCTATGGTGCTGGTGACGCCCACAGACTGGGTTCACGTGTGCAGCGCGTGTGGCATCGAACGGCTTCAATTTACGAGTGGAAAGTTGCTCCGTGTTTGTCTTCAAGGGAGACCGCAGCCTCCCCTCCTCCTCTCAGCGTTAAAGTCAGCCTGTGAGTGCTGAACGGCCTGATTCATCATCTCCACGGCCGGACTCGTCTTCATCACAGAACTCAGAGGACGGAGCTGTGTCTGGGATTTCAGCTGGTGAGTTTACGTTTGTTAACGTTACTGCAGCTCAACACGTGCATCGCTGAGAGTTAAACTAGGATCAGTGTGACGCTAACTTTAAGATATTAGTGTGGAGCTTTATTTTATGGTTGTGTAGCTAGCTAAAATAAAAAGCTAACTAAAGACTGACAGTAACAGATAAAGCTTGTAAAAATGTGCTCATCCATTGGATCATTTGGTTCAACAGTTCACCTAATGTTCACCATTTGTTTATGTTCTCCTCACAGGAGCCTCTGACCCTGATGCGAGGACAGACAGACAAAAGAAAAGTGAGATTGGGGGGGGGCACTGCCTTTTTCTACAGTGGAGGCTGCATGGTGGAGGTAAGTTAAGCTGTAAAGGATGTTGTTGACTAGTTAAACCTTTATCTCTCAGCCTAGATAATGTTTTTTGATCAATAATAACACAAACATGTTATTGTTGATGTTTTGTTCTCATGTCACTTGGGAAGATGATCAGAGCCCTAAACCCCAGAGAACCACAGAGAAGATTCAGGAAGTGAGACAGAGCTACAGAAGTCTGCCATCAACTCTAACCTCAGTGAATCCAGTGACCTGCTGGAATGTGAGGGACAATGTCAGTGCTATCAAACTGACATGTTCCTGTTTTTAATTTTCTACATTCGCCTTAGAATCTAGCTGTTTTTTGTAACTTTTCTTACTTTTTACTTTTTTTTTTAGCCATCCTATTTGTTAAAAAAAAAAAAAAAATTGTATGACTTTTTCTAAATGTTTATTGTTGTCGCTGTTGTCCATTGTGTCATCATTCTTTGTTGAATTCAGGTCTCTCTTGTAAATGAGTCCTCGAGGCTCAATGGGATTTACCTGTCTAAATAAAGGTTGAATGAAAAGTAAAAAAAAAAAAAACAGGTATATCTGTGCGTGCAACAATCATCATCTACAGCCTCAGAGGGAACATTTCCTACTGCTGGAGACACCATCAGCCAGGAGCAGGCTTGTTTGTGTCCAGAGAAAGCAGACATGTTGATTTTTCTGAAGAAAAACTGCTCAGTGAAAAGATCCTCCGTGTGTAGCAGTGACCATTAGACACTGATGTGTCACTGGTTTGAAACTGGTCTTTTGAACTGGAAATTATGTGTTTATTTTTATGTAAGAAAACTGCTTGGAATAGAAATACCAAAGTTAAAAAATAAAACTCACCATTTGTACTGTAATGTGTAATGTAATTTTATTCTTGTTAGAATTAATAGTAATTACAAAATTCGTACCGAAAAAAGAACCGTCCAGGAACCGACACCGAAGTGAAGGTACCGACACCGGTACCGATTTTTTAGAAAGGTCCCCAGCCCTATTTATACGTGATAAAAAGTGTGTTATGTACCTTTGTGCAGTTTTCACACTCAACTTCTTTGATTGTTTCTGATGAAATAAAATGCTGCAGGCACTGATCTAAAGAAATAGGTCGACCCTAAGAAAAAAATACACACACACACAAAAAAAAGTCAAAAACTGGATATTATTCTATACTATAGTTGTAAAGATTCACTGAAATACTCTTGAGTTCTTGCCTACCCACTGAGGAAGAGGGATGGACAAGGAGAGGCTCTCAAATGAGTCGTATCGCACTGGACTCTAGAAAAAGCACAACAGATGTATTAATCACTTGTAGAACAAAATAACACAAGCTTGATGTGATGCGTTTTTTATTTCCAAATAGAGGAAAAAAAAACTCACCTGTATGTTACAGCGCTTACATGACATGTTGCTTGTTAAACGACCGTGGAAAGGATGCTTAAACTTCCAAGGATCCGGGATTGGATGAAGAGGAGCTGTCAATCAAAGAAACAAACATGAGATGCTTCCTGGTTTCCACACTTTACACACTTGATGTTGATTTTGATTTCTTACCCCGACTTATGCAGGCCATACTTTTGTTTTCTTGATTAGAAAGATTCTAGTAACACCACAAAGTAAGAATAAGTCTCTTTTCAAAGCATCAAAACAAATGATGGTGGTACAAAAGCTTCAGGCTACACCAGTTGTGCTGAATGTGAAAGGGTGCAACAGCCAAGAGAAATGTGCGTGCACGTTGCAGATGGATGTTCTTTTATAACTTGCCTCAAGAGACTGAACGTCAAACAAATGAGTGACTTTGGGTTGACGATTTTGTTCCTCCTCCAGAGAAGAAGTGAGGACATGAAAAAGCTCGTGTGCATCCTTGGAGGGGGAAAAAACAGGTTTTAATAAAACACTGCATCTTAGATTTTATTTGCACTAATCTAAAAGTACCCACCAGTCACCGACTCTGAGAACTAACCTGCTCTTCAAATGTGTTGATGTGCCAGCGATACAATCTGAGAACATCCAGGAGGCATCCAGCATCGAGAACATCTTCATCTGTAGGCTCATCACTGGACAGAGCTGTCAGGGTACAAACCATGTGACAACACAGAAACAAGCACAGCAGGTTGACCCATCGACAGGTCGGGTTTACACACCTTTAAGAAGTTGAAGCAGTGTGGTGGACAGCTGGTTGTCTTTACAGGACTGGACATGTAGACTTGAAAACTTCTCCAACCATCTGATGAAGGATGGACATGCTGCCAAGCCCTGAAGTAAAGAGTTCAAGAAGCAAGTGTTGCCCAGATTTAGAAGACCTGGAACCATACCTGTGAAGAAACACGATCATTATAAAAATTACTGTCATATACTACAAGCTGGTTAGGATACTGTGCAGCCCAATAGCTTTCTGGTGATACTTAAAACCACAAATCGTCAGTCCTGACGAGTAACCAAATGTAAAGTTGTATTTGTTTTGGGGAAGCATCGAAGAGAACTTTTAAAATACTGATTAATGTCACCAAAACGTTTAGGAGGAGACATTGTAAATGTAGGGATGGAGCAAACCATTACAAAAAAGGAGGGAAATAAAGAAAAACGGTTTATACCCTTGATAATAATTGGAAATGCGAGAGCTCTTATATAATATATAAGATTAAAATTTTATATTATAAAATTACAAAAACTAGAAAAACTAAAAAAATCAAACAGTAGGAATATCAAAATGCATCATTACACAACACACAGACACAAGCATGAAAACATTTTCTGGGCTTCAACAATGTTTTTGTATTAGGGATGCACGATATTGGATTTTTGGCCAATATCCGATACCGATATTGTATATACTTTCCTTTGTCAAAACATAGTCCTCTTATTTAGGAGTATTTGCTACAATAATTGTATAACAGCTGTAAGAGCTGGTGACATATTTCAGTAACAGCCATATGATATGCATAGCACTTTAACTTGTATTAAATGAAACGTATTAAATATTATTTATTAGCATTAGCCACCTGCGATGCTGTCTCACTTGTGGAGGCTTGTTCCAGGTTCCTAGCTGCAGTGTGGGATCCTCTGCACTCTTGTGCATGAAGGACAGACTTTTTAAGTTCAAAGTTTTTCTCTATCCATTGTGCCATAAGACTAATCATGCTAACGGGGCTAACACGACGTCCAAATGTCTGTGGTAAAACTCACCCAAGTGCTATCGGCTATTAGCTTCTCAATGACGTCATAAATGACGGCTTGTAACTCGGGTAATGCTACGTCGGAAAAACGTCTCTGACTGGGGAGGATGTAGCGAGGCTCAACGTAGTCCATAAATCTTCAGAATCCAATATCCTCAATGAAAAAACCCTTCCACACCACCGACATTTTGACTTCTTCCTCTCCATCGTGACCAGATCAGGTAGGCGCGCATGACGTCATCACGTTGTGCTGCTGCTGCTGCAGGCATCCTTGTCACTGGGTTGTCATACAAAAACAGCGCCTTTTATATCGGTGAGTTATTTTGATGGAATGGCCGATGTCCGATATTGAACTTTAACGCCAATATCGGCCGATACCCATACCATGCCGATAATATCGTGCATCCCTACTTTGTATGATCATTATAGACAAAAGACACCAGTAGATGTTTCTTCAACTCCCTCATTCCTGCTAACCTTAATAACCTTATAAAAACTTTAATTCCTACTTTCACACTTCACTTAGTTTTATTATTATATTTTGCTTACAGTATTTATTAAATCAGTATAAACTAAATTTTTTTTTCTTCTCCAGTTTAAAAGTTAAGCCAATTCTTACCTCTCTTCCTCTTCTTTCTCTCTGTGATTGGGCCCCACATTACATAAACTCCAGCTGCGATCGCCGCTGCGATCCCTCCAATGACACTCCAGTTCTTTATCATCTTGTTTCTGGTAAACAAACAAACAAAAAATACATATATGGTGATGAAGAAATGAAATGTACTTAGAGTCAGAAGGATGAAAAAAAGGCACCAGAGCAAATGATAAGCAGGAAAATTAAGTGTTACATTAATTAATAATCTGTACAGTTCAGTTTGAATTGTAATAAAATTTGGAATGGAATGGATTAAACTGGGGCATTTTTTTTTTTAATAATTTGAGCTGTATTTCCTCAGATAAATGTAACTTTGATGTTAAATGAGTAGAATAGAAATGATGACATTTGGAACAATTATAATAAACTATGAAAGCAGACTTTTTTTCCTTCTTCTTTCGGCTGCTCCCTGCGTTGGGGTCGCCACAGCGAACTAAGTCGCACGAAGACTTGGCAGTTATTTTTACACCAGATGCCCTTCATGATGCAACCACAGACCACCGAGCTACCACAGCCCTCTGTGTGGAGCAGGGAGCTGCTATCTAGGACACCCGGAGGGGCGGATGGTGGAGGTTAAGGGCCTTGAATGAGGGTGGGGTCAGGTGTGGGTGCTTGACGTACCCCACCCACATTTTTGATGTTGTCTGTGCCGGGGCTTGAACCGACGATCTTCCGATCACATGCCCACCTTCTCTAACCCCTGCGCTACCACTCCCCTTAAAAAAAAAAAACTATGAAAGCAGAATATTGCACAAAAATAAACATGACTTTTCTTGTGTTTGTTCCATATTTTCTTAACAGAGCACTTTGCTCTCAGACTGCAGGCTTACTCGTGGTTCCTAAAGTTTCCAAAAGCAGAATGGGAGGAAGATCTTTCAGTTATCAGGCTCCTCTCTTGTGGAACTTCCTGTTTCTGTCCATGAGGCTGACACATTGTCCAGCTTTAAGACTGGGCTTAAGACTTTCCTTTTTTGATAAATCCTATAATTAGGGTTGGCTTGTTATGCTGACATAGGCTAAGACTACTAGAGGACAAATTGACCCAATTTACTTAAATGAACTGTTAAAATTTAATAGTTTTCATTTGATTTTATTTCTAAACATGTGATTCTTGACCTGCCATTGTGTATCTGTTCCTCTCAAACCCAGCTGTTCGAAGCAGATGATCACTTGTCCTGAGCCTGGTTCTGCTAAAGGTTTCTTCTTCATGAGGGAGTTTTTCCTTTCCACTGTCGCCTTCATGCTTGCTCAAAATGAGAGTTCTGTGATGGAGTTAAACTCAAAGCAGCCTGCTCCTCAAATAGTGTTAAATTATTATTTTTATGAACGTTTTTGTTAACTTGTTATTTTTATATATGAATGTTTCTGTTCAGTGCCCTGAGATGACTTCTCCTGTTGTGACTTGGCGCTGTATAAATAAACTGAATTGTTTCTGTGCATTTGTTGCAGCAGTTCATCCTCATTTGTTGTGAAGTCTGTTCGAGTAAATCTGCGACAGACTCAACTATCGACCCAGTTAATCTGTAACGAAATCAACACAAGACGCGACCTAATCACATCAAACGCAGTTTCTAACACACACTGACTAGTCTGCCAGAAAGTTAGAAAAGTCATTTGGATTTTATCCGACTAGTGTGCAAGTACGAATCAGCGTCACAGGAGCTGTGCTAGCTTTAGCCTTTAGGCTAACTTACCAACAACGCCGACGTCAGTCAGCCGTGCGAAAAATGTATCAACTTCACAAATGTAAATCATCCACGCTGCTGTTCTCTACATTAAAAATAAATATGTATTTAATATTACAGCTAAATCTGTTGTGAAATATAAACATTATTATAAACAGGGACTGCGTGTTCGCTGTTAATAAATGTGCGGATGTTTCCGCTGCGGGACCTTCGCACCGAACACGACATAAGCAGCTGTTGTTTGACCACATGATGGAGAGATTTTACCTCATTACAGGTCCTGCGCCTAGAAACTCCCAAACAAGCTTATCAGAGCTCTCTGGTCTGCACGACAACATTCTGTTAGCTATCTATGCAGTACTATGCAATTGAGGAGCGTGTTTCCACACGGACCTGCGGATGGACACACTCAAATCGACGGCTTGAATCATACGTCGACGTCGACGCCATATTGAACGTGGCGGAACTGCCGGGTAACTAATACAAAGAAATGGACAGAACTTCATAAAGCACCGTTCTACAAAGTGTTTTAAGTTAATCCCTGTCATTCAAATACACTAATATATTTGGAAAACAAACAGGCACCAAAGACAGCATTTGTAACCTTTAACGTTAACGAAACAGGAGCAGGTCAACACTATTTGGTGGTGGACTTCAGAAGGAATAAACACCTAACCTGCTGTTCGGAGTATTGTTTTTATGCTATTAATGCTTAGTGTATTTTTAGTTAATGTTTTCTTAATTTATATCTTAGATCTTATTACTGTTTTTCTTTTACATTTTATTGTTGGATGTAACTGGGACCCTGTTGACACTGTTTCATTCCACCACATGTGGTGCAAATGACAGATAAAGAAACTCTGACTATTTCCATCATGGGAGAAGAAGTGGAGGTGATGGAGAAGTATAAATACCTTGAGGTTCACCTGGACAACAGACTGGACTGGAAATGCAACAGTGAAGCCATCTACAAGAAGGAACAGAGCACACTGTACTTCTTGAGGAAGCTGAAGTCCTTCAGTGTTTGCAGCAAGATGCTGCATATCTTCTGTAAGTCTGTTGTAGAGAGCGCTGTCTCTTCTGCCATCATCTGCTGGGGTAGCAGCACCAGAGCAAGTGACTTAAAAAAGATCAACAAGCTCATAAAGAAGGCTGGCTCAGTTCTGGGGACTCCTCTAGAACCTTTGGAGATGATTGTACAAAGAAGGATTCTTCATAAAATGAAGAACATTATAGACAACCCTCTGCACCCTCTTCATCAGACTGTCATACAACAACAAGTGTCTTCAGTCAGAGGCTTCTTCAGATCCGCTGTAAGACAGACCACTACAAGAGCTCCTTCCTGTCCACAGCCATCAGCATCTAGAACAACTCATTAATGAAATCAGGATGATGAGTTACAACAACATTTAATTTCCCTTTGGGATTAATAAAGTATTTTTGAATTGAATTGAATTGAATTAAATTTAAATATTTTTGTTTTTGCTGTTTAGTCTTTAGGCAATTTGACCAACATTACATACTAAAAAGCATTTGTGGAAAATTTTCATGGATTAATTCACTGTTGTTGTTTTTAATGAAATTCGATATTTTGTTCAAACTACATATAATATTTGATTATCAAACATAATTAAACAAACAATTATACTACCAAATGTATCTAATGAATTTATATTTCTTCTGTTTAATCCTCTTGTAATGTGTTCTTATTTGTTTTTAACCTTATTCTAATT